ATGTTTTATCACGTTAAGCAAAATATCATGAACATGTTTACCTGTGGCATGACACAACAGGATGCTAAATTTATTTGGTCGTATACAGGTTTGATCTGAAAAAACAAATATATAAATTAATAATCTATATACTGCATGTAGAGTAATGCATTTATCGCGGACTGCGACTAAAAATATCGCATATAATAACCTTTGCAAATTTATTCAACTGCTTCAATGCTTCCATGCTGAAGTCACACACGGCGATGTCACCCACGTATGACTGCTCTACCAGTTTTTCCAGTTCCTGAGAAAACAAAGGATTATTAAGAGGCAATTTTTTTCAATGTCACGTATTTGCAATGAAAAGTGTTCAAAACCTAAAATCTTTTTGGCGTTCCTCTCAAAATTACTTTGTTTTAGCTTTATTCTCTAGTTTATATAGTTAGCTACCTTTTTAAATGCATCTGCCGGTTGAGAAACATAAAATAATAGTTAAAAATTGTCAATTAAAATGCAATTATCATTGATGCTTTAAAATTGACGCCACATTTACAACCGTATAAGCAAAACTTACTGAACTTCAGACATCATTTTGTCTTTGGCGTATCATCTAAAATCTCTTCATTTTAGTATTATTTTACAGATAAAGTACTAAACATACTTTTTAAGTTTGTTTGCCGATTGAGAAACGTATCGAAAAATAAAAATTTTGAATTTAGTCATAACCTCAAGTGGTATATTCAATACGCATTAGTTTTGAGCGCGTGTTACGTAACATACAAAAAAATCTCCTCTTAATACGATGTGGTGCTTTCGGTCAATATTTTCATTGCAAATACGCAACCTTGAAAATAAATGCCTCTTAATGATGTTTCGCTCGCTACTCTGGTTTAAATAAATGATTACAAAGCCCATTCGAATTGTAATCAAGACCCAACGTTTCGACTCGAGAATTCGAGACCCAACGGGTCTTGATTACAATTCGACTGGGCTTTGTAATCATTTATTTAAACCAGAGTAGCGAGCGAAACATGATTGATATACCTGGTTGCAGTGAACGAACAAACTTTAAGCCTCTTAATGAGTTCGACATAGACACATGACATGATACACGATCAGTTTTTCCGTTGATCCAGGGAATACAAAAAAAATGCAAAATGAAAATACCTTCCACATTGGTTTGATGACAGAGAACTGAGTATCCGCGCAAAGAAATGGTGGAATGGAGAGCACCACAACATCAATATAGTCAACTCCAAGCTCTGTCAAATCTAAAAGGAGAAAATTGTGTGAACTCGTAAATAAGAAATTAATTCATAGGCTTGGCTTTCAACATGATATACAATCGAGATGAACTTGTAATTATGCATAACTTACCTCGGAAGATCGCTTCTTGAATATTGTGTGGCTTTTCTTCATTGATGAAAAGTTTTACTATAAATGTAAGGTGTTTACCGTGGTTATGTTCGTAAACAACAGCAGCGGCAACAACAACAACGGAAGCGAAAACAACAACAAAAACAGCAACAACAACAACACCAATAACAACAACAACACAACAACAGCAACAACAACAACAATAGCAACAACAACAACAGCAACAACAACAACAACAACAGTTCAGCGACAACAGCAACAACAACAACACCACCAATGACAAAAACACAGCAAACAACAACACAAAAACAGCGACAACACAAAAACAGCGACAACAACAACAGCACCAATAACAACAACAACAATACAGCAACAACAACAGAACATACCTGAAACTTTTAAAGTATTTCGTTCCTCACTTTTCACTTTCTCAACTAATGCCGAGTTGACAAAACGAACACATTCTTGCTACAAAACAAATTATAGCTTGTCAAGAAAATGGCTCTTAGACACCGAATAATTAATGTCTTTACATATAAATAATTTGTAACAATACATAACATACATAAGTAAAACTTAGACCATGCGCTCATTCTCTCTAGATTTCATGTGACCTGTCCACATGACATTAGTCATAATGATGTAGTCAAGAACAGTGATTACGGAAAAACAAATCATGTGACATACCTTGCTAAATCTTTCATCTTTGTCTGCAGTGCAAGAGTTTACTGTTGTGATCACACGTTCACAGATCTATCCAGATAGAAAATATTTGTTTTCAAAGCTCCACCCATCACATTTCAACGCTTAAGCCCAGACAAACGGGAATGAGAATTGACAAGAGCTGGGGAGAGGTTATATACCTTATAGCCAGAATTTGTGGCTACAAAGCACGCCAGGTTTCGTCATACCCCGTAGCAAAAAAACAGCACAAAAAAGGTAACAACAATCCTAATAGTCCAGGGTGCAATAATTCAAAATTTTTAGTCGCACCTGACTGGTACACCAATAGTTGTTGTCGCGTACTTGCGCGCTAGAACAAACTCAGTACTCAATGTGTATTATCACAATTGCAATATACAGACAATCGACTCCAACGTTTCTTAGTGCCATCAGTCCAATCATGTTTCATGCCAAGACATCTCAGACACATGGTATACCAACTAAATTACGGTATTGAATACCTTGGACTTGGAAAGGTCATGTGGTACCAGCAAAAAGTTAAGTACGCAGATAGCAAGAGTTCCGCGCACCTACGTGGTACGTGACTGAATACAAGGAATTACCAGACCGTAATATTGGCGTAAGTCCAGTACGTAAGTACGCGAATTATCGCACCCTGCTAATACCATCATAAATTATTCCCTTAAGGCTGATTTCCACTCTTTCGTTTTTCGTACGCACGTACACGCACGTAAAACTTTGAATCCTTCTATTTTTTAAATATTTTACAAATAAGTTAACAAATGCATACTAAAACTTGCGGAACACTAAATTCTTTTGCTTTATTTATCTGGTTATTTCATAAGTAACATCACGTGTGTATAAAAAACGCAACAGTGGAAATCAGCCTTTAGACTTAGTAAAAATATTCCCACATTATGAAAGCCTTGAAACAGTCACATTAAATTGTACATCTATTAAAATGAGATAAATTAAGTACAATATCTGTGCAGTGGTGATTAGCAAACTGCGGGGCTTTGAAATTTCTAGTCACTCACAAACAATGTGGATTTTTAACAGGGGTGTCAAAATCAGTCAAAGTGATGTGATGTCTAATGACTTTGAAAGTGCATTCCAATTTTTTTAATACTTCCAAGGGAAAAGGCTTAACATATATATTCCTTTTAGACCACATGGAGTTCTTTTGAAAAAGTTTAAGTAGCATCAGTATGTTGCTAACAAAACAACACAGCTTGACCAGACAGTCTTTTAATAGGGCTCCCTATGAGCTAAACTAATGCAGTAAAACTCCTGTAATATTCAGAGAAATTTAGTCACACAATATCTTGTATAGAATTAGATAGTCATATTATTACATCAATGTACATGAAAAGTACCATAGCAAGTAGTTTGTAGATTTTGTTTCAGAAATCTGTTTACGTCATCATATATTGGTGTCACTGTGCAGTCAAAGTAATGTGATTTCTGTTGTATTTATACATAATTTGTGAAATATTAATTTAATTCGCCACATTTTATTATTAGTCAGTTATAATAGCACAGCTATGCTGTGATATTATTATCATGTTTAAATAAATGCTTTTATTGTCATTAGCTAGGCCAAATGATCTCGAAACTCGGAAAAGGCCTGGCACTAGTTGTAAAATAGAAATCAATTTCAGGTTTACATTTACTCAATATCAGATTCGTTGTGTTAGATTTCTATCTCAAATTTGTCCCAGATATTCATTTCCCTGTGCAAGAAACAGACACAAAGTTTCAAATAGTTTTACAAACGAATCAGGGCGTGACGTGTGATTAAAGGTACGAAACTGGATTTCTATTCTGCTGCTAGTCCCAGTCCTTTGCTCATCATCAGATCACCTGGAGTGCAAACCATAATTATACAGAAGAATGTTGCTTGACAATTTTTCTCCTTGCATGTATACAAATTAAGGCTGGTGTCGTGCCCATTTTAGAGCAAGCTAAACTTATTCAACTTTTTGCACAGATGGTTGAAAAAAAATATGTACATGTCTGATAACGGTAGAATTTAAAGAAACAGCCGGGAAATTTGCCAATCTTTTCTGACTCGCAGATAAATAACAGTATATAGACTGAATTCTAATTTCTCAAAATACTATGTCAGCAAACATATTGACTGTAGGTACCAATATCCATGAGCAAAACAACTTAACCTTGTCATCATGAAATGCTCATCGATCATGAAAAGTTAATTTATTCAAGAGAATTTGTTCAGTAAAACTTGGTTGTCCGGGCAAGCAAGGTTTGAACGATATACTGTCACAATCGCTTTCCGGAGAGTTTGCTAATATAGCATGATCTAACTCAGATTCGAAGAAGAAACTGACTGCTAATCAATCAGCAAGCTATGATGTACAGTTTAATTATTTTCTTGCTTCTGACAATTTCAAATATGCAAATAATTTTGTAAGCCATCACAAAGTCATGCTGTGTCATGCTGTCTTGTCAAAAATGACCCTGATTTAAATATTTAAAAAAAATGCTTAGTCATGCTGTGCCTGGGAATATTTTTACTCAAATTGGAGTGCACCAAGTCAATTCAGATTTCGAAAATCTAACTAGATTAACTCTTCAAAGAGAAAAATGTTGCCAAAACAATACTTAGAGTACGTTATCTGCCCATATCTCATGCTATTTTCAACGGCAAATGGCAATTGCTACTGATAATTCCACCGATAATGCAGCTGAAAATGAAATTATTGACGGCAATGTTTTCCCAACGGTTACCAAACACTTATCATTTACGTACTGTATGCTGTAAAGGGATCTATCGAAGACATTAACAAGTGAATTCCTTTCGTTCAATAGATCAATATTCTCAGCTTGATTTTTTCAATGATTTTTAAAAATTGTGATGACTGTAATAAGCCACAGTGCTCCACGATGGTCTTACTTGGCTATTTACTCTCGTTGACACCTAAATTTTCTGGGGATGTATACCCCATTCTGCACACCCAGAAAATACATAATTACACAACCCTTCAGGTATCCGTTTGAAGTCCTGGCTAATAATAATTTGTGTATGGCCAGCACTGTTTTGCTCTACTGAGGCTCCGGCTATTAATTGATGAGCGAAGCGAGTACATTATGCAAAGAATGGAAGGTCCGGGTCGAAGCTTCAAGGGTGCTGTGAGTTGAGTGGTGGGCAAAGGCTTGCAAGCTTTGTCTATTTGGTATATTGTCCGAGTGCAAGACTGGGCTAAAAATTTCAGCTTGTCATGACTGCAAGTACCGGCAAATTACACACAACCTCTGGCGAATGGCTGTCAAATATCTTCTTAGCGCTGGCGAAATTCGCCGTTCGCTGGCCTATAACAAGATGGGTGATTACATGGTGCTGAAAATATAGCAAAGGGAATATAGTTTGAAGCAAAAATAATCATGCAAACGTAAAGACACCTTGTCTACCGACTTGCACATTTCTAGCAATTGTTTGCGTCACCTGATGATGCATCTGGGCGATACAACAGGTGCTAGTCCAATTTGAAAAGTTGAATAATTATTCTTATTCAACGAAATTGATCACCGCAATCATAACTACTGCGCAAAATTGTTCTGCATTTATTTCCCTGCAAACCTCTATATGCATCGCAATATGAAATTTGCAAAGTGCTTGCTTTGATTATGATAAGGTCGATCTGATGTACTGTACAAAATAGTGCTTATTAATTAAAGTCTTGCCACCAGAAAACTAACAAACGAGGACACACCCAATTTTTCTGCAGAAATTTCTTTCAAAACAACAATTATTCGCTTGCTCAGATGTTTCTAGCAGGCCAATTATAATTTAAAAGACGATTATAAAATTCCGCAGTGAAATATTGAAACCCTAATCTATTATATAATAAAGATTGACAGTTAGTTTAAATCTCATATGATAACTAGTTCAAGAGGTGTTTAGATTAAAACACGCGAGGTTATTTTCGTTGTAAACTCAGTGAATGGGCTATTGCATTTTTGTTTATCTGACTTTATGTAGAAATAATATTATATATTATGAAGCTTTAGTGATAACCTTTAACCCGTTAACCCAATCCATACACCTTTTATGTAAACACATTAGGATTTGTAATTAAATTTTGCTCTTGTTGCAGATCTCCGCCGCGTTTAAACGAAACAAATAACTACACTAAGACATATAAAGGCAGAATGAATAAGAGCATATCTTTTTCTAGACGGACAAACCTCTTCTGTCGTGCTTTTAACAACTTTAGAGTTGCTTCGACTCCAGTTCGTCAAGTTTCCCGTGTGAATATACATCTGTTTTGCGGTCTGGAAAATCTTGCCGTTGACACAGTGGTCTTTATTCTCCTCGCAGCAATGTCCATTACCATTCTGGCATTCGTTCATTGCCACAGCATTTGACATTTCTTTCTTTTGGAGGATTTTTGTGGAGCAAAACTTTCACAATGTTGATGTCCTTGAGAAATTTCAAACAGTGACTAAATTTTTTCCAATGACGTCATACCGGATGTGAAGTACTTTTAACAGTATTGTATTCCATAATTATTTGCATGCATGATTAATTTTTCAAAATGCTTTATTTATAATTTTTGAGTGTTTATTTCGTTTTATGCACGTAAAAATCTCACAACTTGTCAACGAGATGTGCTCGCAACAGGCTTGTAGCAAGCTTGTCAACAAGTTGTAACAATGTTGTTATTTTGTCAAGTTACTACGCAATCTCGTACACAGAGCATGCCCGTTCGCAGGCTAGGGAGAACCCACGTACACGTGACAAGCCGTCAACAAGTTGTCTGCGCACTGCTTGTCCCAAGTTGTCAACACGTTTGGAACAATTAAGCTGCTAACAACTTGTAACAACCTTGTTGATATTATCAGACTTGTTGCAAGGTTGTTCCAACAAGTCCGATACAGTCATGATATAACAATATTGTTACAACCTTGTGTGATCAACCTTGTAGCATTCTTGTTATATCATGATTGTATCAGACTTGTTAGAACAACCTTTGGAAAAAGTCTGATAATGCCATCAAGCTTGTTACAAGTTGTCAACAGCTTATTCCAAACTTGTTACAACAACTGGAACTTGTCAACAGCTTGTGAACAGATTTGTAACCACTTGTTTGCAGACCTGTAACAATCTCTGCGTTTTTACGTGCGTTGCAAGTCTGCCAACAAGCCGTCAACAAGTTGTCTTCGCAGTGCTTGTCCCAAGTTTTCAACAAGTTTGGAACAAGCTGTTAACAACTTGTAATAACCTTGTTGATACTATCAGACTTGTTGCAAGGTTGTTCCAACAAGTCCGATACAGTCATGATATAATAATATTGTTACAACCTTGTGTCGTCAACCTTGTAACATTCTTGCTATATCATGACAGTATCAGACTTAATTGTTACAAGAACCTTGTGTCCTTGTAACAAGTCTGATAATGTCATCAAGCTCGTTACAAGTTGTTGACGGCTTGTTGGCATAATTGCTACAAGATGTGAGATTTTTGCGGGTGCATTTTCTAAATACTGAAATCAAATTCACAAAAAATATTATATGTGTTACATAACCCACTCGACGTAAATATTTTTAAAATAAAGCTGATGAGTGATGAAAGAAACTTTGACACAATATGCTAATTGTTTTTCTTTTTCAATTTGCATTTTGCGAAGCGTTGAAGATACACGCGTAAAAATCTCACATCTTGTAGCAAGTCTGCCAACAAGCCGTCAACAAGTTGTGTTCGCATTGCGTGTTCCAAGTTGTCTGTTGTTGCAACATGTTTGGAACAAGCTGTTGACAATTTGTAACGACCTTGTTGATATTATCAGACTTGTTACAAGGTTGTTCCAACAAGTCCGATACAGTCATGATATAACAGAATTGTTACAACCTGTTGTCAACCTTGTAACATTCTTGTTATATCATGACTGTATCAGACTTGTTAGAACAACCTTGTAACAAGTCTGATAATTCCATCAAGCTTGTTACAAGTTGTTAACAGGTTATTTCAAACTTATTCCAACAACTGGGAACAAGCAGCGCGAACACAACTTGTCGATAAACACGTAAAAACGCACAAGTTGTTACAAGTCTGCAAACAAGCTGTTACAAGTCTGTTCACAAGCTGTCAACAAGTTGTGTTCGCACTGCTTGTTCCCAGTTTGTTGGAACAAGTTTGGAACAAGCTGTTAACAACTTGTAACAAGCTTGATGGCATTATCAGCCTTGTTACAAGACTGTGCTAACAAGTCTGTTACAGTCATGACATAACAAGGATGTTACAAGGTTGTCATCACAAGGTTGTAACAATCTTGTTATATCAAGCATGTAACAAACTTGTCAGAACATCCTTGCAACAAGTCTGATAATTTCGACAAGGCCGTTACAAGTTGTCAACAAGTTGGTCCAAAACTGGTCCAAACCTATTGACAACTTGTGACAAGCAGTGCGGAATACATCTTGTTGACGGTTTGTTTGCAGACGTGTTACAAGATGTGAGATTTTTACGTGTGTAGCTTGTGAACATATTTGTAACAACTTGTTTGCAGACCTGTAACAATTTGTGCGTTTTTACGTGTGTAAAGATATAAAAGACTTTCGTTTTAATTTTACTCAAAAATTATCGGGCAAAAAACAGAATTAAATTTGCGATGAAATAAGTCTGAAACAAGTTGTTCTCATTTTGTGACAAGGTTGATGAGGTCAAGTTGTTTCAACAGGTCGGATACCGTCTGCACGTAACAAGTTGCCAACAACAAGCTTGTAACAACTTGTTACGAGCAGCCTGTATTAGTCTTGGTGGAACAACTTGCAGCAAGTCTGTCACCATCAAACCTGTGACAAGGTGATATATAACAATTTGTTTCGGGCTTGTCACAACAACTAGGGACAAGCGGCGCGAACACGTCCTGATATCGTCTTGACGGCAACCATGTTACAACTTGTTAGCAAATATGGAGTAACAACTTGTGCGTTTTGCGTGAGTAATACGCACTCAAAGCATAGCTCACAAGGCATGGAGGTCAAGATGCCTTTCAACCAAAAAATCATTTGTACTCTCATTATATATTCGTTTGAAAACAAATTGACTGTCAATAATCACTTCTTTTGTGTAAACATGACTTAATTTGTTAAGCCAGTATTGGCATTTTCCTTGCCAAACACAAAACAAAGTCACAATCATGTTATTGATGTCGAATTCCAGAACTATTCAACAAGACTTAGTTGTTATATAAATAATTTTAAATTTGACTTCATATTTTATCGCTGTTTTATTGATCTAAAAGTTCGCTTGAAATCATTCTGTTCTCTATTCGTATTTTGGAGGACTTCTTAATTTAAAGGTTTGTGTTGTACGATATGCATCGAAACAAAACGAAGGACACGTTGCAATTACCACGGGTCATCGTAGGAGAAAACCTCGATGAAAATGAGGGAATCTCTGAATTACACGATGTCAAAAACTTTCCAAGTCGACTGAGAACGAACAGCGAAACCAGTCAAGACTCTGTTACTTCAGAGCCGCGAAACCGACGGCGAAGCAAACGCTTCGAAGACGCTTTGCTAAAATGGCAGGAATACGGGAACGATATTATAGAAAGAAAACCGCCAAATTTTCTCGAGTTGAAAAACAAATCTCGAAAAGGTACTTGGATATGCGCCGGAGGAAAATACAACGAAAAATCGGAGATTGACGCGAGCCGTGAAAAGGATAAACTTTATCAGAAACAAGTCAAGGAACTTGCCGGACGGTTAAGTGACAATCTTCGCGAGTTTCAGGAGATGCATGAACGCTCAGCAAAGATTGAGCTGACTTTGAAACAGCTGAAGGAAAAGGCTATGGCAAATTTGGGCAACGAACAGGATTTCAAGATATAAAACCGAATATTCGTTTGTTTTCTTAGTGTACGAAGCGTTCAAATGCCATGGCAACAGCATTTATCGGTTTGCGCAATGTTGTATTAAATTATGGTAATAGTGAGAAACTTGCGTGAAATCATATTTTTATTATTATTATTTACATTTATTAATTATTTACATCACAAGATAGCCTTTCAGAAGAACTACATGCTTTTCAAAGGGCCGTGTCGCCAAATATTGACATAAATAAACACGTTGACATAAATACTGAAAGTTTTTACAAAAATTAAGAAATGAAAACTGATTGACTAGAGTCTAGATCAGGGCCGTAGCTAGAGGGGAGGGGGTGTATATTCATATATTCGATCGTGTTCTGCCCGACGGATTTCTTTTGAAAGAAATTTTACGTTTTTACGCTACCACGCCCCCAATCTCGTGTCTAGCTACGGCCCTAGTCTAGATATTCTCTGAAGAACTAGCAGACATTGAGCTAAAGTTACTGTGAATATAGTCATCCAGTCTCACATCTTGATTCATCATCTGCCAAAATGTTGTCAACAAGTTGTCTTCGCACTGCTTGTTCCAAGTTGTCAACAAGTTTGAAACAAACTGTTAACAACTTGTAACAAGCTTGTTGATATTATCAGACTTGTTACAAGGTTGTTCCAACAGGTTCGATACAGTCATGATGACATGACATAACAATATTGTTACAACTTGTGTCATCAACCTTGTAACATTCTTGTTATATCATGACTGTATCAGATTTGTTAGAACAATTTTGCTACAAGTCTGATAATGATATCAAGCTTGTTACAAGTTGTTAACAGCTTGTTCCGTGTGTAGATGCTTTGCCTGAGTTTCATAAACACGTAAAAATGCACAAGTTGTCACAGGTCTGCAAACAGGTTGTTACAAAGCTGTTCACAAGAAGCTGTCGACAAGTTGTATTCGCACTGCTTGTTCCCAGTTGTTGTAACAAGTTTGGAACAAGCTGTTAACAACTTGTATCAAGTTTGATGGCATTATCAGACTTGTTACAAGGTTGTTCTAACAAGTCTAATACAGCCATGATATAACAAGAATGTCACAAGGTTGACGATACAAGGTTGTAACAATATTGCTATATCATGACTTTATTAGAGCTGTTGGAACAACCTTGCAACAAGTCTGATAATTTAAAGTTTGTTCGTTCACTGCAACCAGGTATATCAATCATGTTTCGCTCGCTACTCTGGTTTAAATAAATTATTACAAAGCCCAGTCGAATTGTAATCAAGACCCAACGTTTCGACACTCCAGTCTAATGTCTTCATCAGGGGTGATCTAAAATTGCAATCGTGGCTTCTTAAATACCCAAGGAATGACGTCACCTGCCAATGAGATGCGTATATTCCTCCGGCAAATAGGCACCGTCATCCCTATTCAAAGCATGATTACTCATATTTATATGCCACGCTTCTAGGCAGTCTTTGACCATAGCGATTGTTTGTGGTAATTACTTTAGAGTTTTCCCACGCAATCTCGTGTTTGGTGTAACATATATGTTCGGCTTGCGAGATTGCGTGGGAAAACTCTAAAGTAATTACCACACACAATCGCTATGGTCAAAGACTTTGCCTAGAAGCGTAGCAAATAAATATGAGTAATCATGCTTTGAATAGGGATGACGGTGCCTATTTGCCAGAGGAACATATGCATCTCATTGGCAGGTGACGTCATTCCTTGGGTATTTAAGAAGGCACGATTGCAATTTTAGATCACTCCTGATGAAGACACTAGACTGGAGTGTCGAAACGTTGGGTCTTGATTACAGTTCGACTGGGCTTTGTAGTCATTTATTTAAACCAGAGTAGCGAGCGAAACATGAAGTCTGATAATATCAAAAAGTTTGTTACAAGTTGTTAACAGTTTGTTCCAAACTTGTTGACAACTTGGGACAAGCAGTGCGAATACAACTTGTTGACGGCTTGTTGGCAGACTTGCCACAAGATTTTTACGAGTGTATCCTTTTTTCGATGGATTTGCTCACGACGATTTATATCTAAGTTTCTTTTCCAGTAGACTTTCAATGGAATTATGGATATAAAAGAAAAATTTAAAAATTCTTGTAAATTTATCTTGTAAGGTTAACGACACAAGGTTGTAACCGGCAATATTGTTATATCATGATTGTATCGGACTTGTTGGAACAACCTTGCAACAAGTCTTACATTATCATCAAGCTTGTTACAAGTTGCTAACAGTTTATTCCAAACTTGTTGACAACTTGGGAAAGCAGTGCAAAGACAACTTGTTAACAACTTGTTGGCAGACTTGCTACATGATGTCAGATTTTTACGCGTGTACACGCGTAAAAACGCACAGCTTGTAATAAGTCTGCAAACAAGTTGTAATTACAAGTCTGCTCACAAGCTGTCAACAAGTTGTCTTCGCACTGCTTGATCCCAGTTGTTGCAACAAGTTTGTAACAAGCTGTTAACAACTTGCAACAAGCTTGATGGCATTATCAGACTTGTTACAAGGTTGTTCTAACAAGTTTGATACAGTCAAGATATAACAAGGATGTTAAAAGGTTGTCAACACAAGGTTGTAACAATTTGTTTTATAATATAGTATTTGTAAATTCTGAACGCTGATTGGCTAAGAGCCGTGTTGATATAACTCCATGTCAACACGGGAAATTTTCCGCCGCTTGTAAACGCGGACATTTTTCTTATTCTTCGGGCTTTTGACATTGCTATATTATAAAAAAAATATAAAACATTTTTTCCGTATTGATATATAGTTATATCAACACTCGTGGAAGTTGGGAAAACTCGAAATTGTGTGAAAACACTCCGCCCTTCGGGCGTCGTGTTTCCACACAATTTCTCGTTTTCCCAATTTCCACTCGTGTTGATATAACTGTATATCAACACGGAAAATGTTTTATATTTGTTAAATATCAAGCATGTAACGAACTTGTCAGAACAACCTTGTAACAGTCTGATAATTTTGCCAAGATCGTTACAAGTTGTCAACAAGTTGTTCCAAAACTGTTGACAACTTGCGACAAACAGTGCGAAGAGGACTTGTTGAGGGCTTGTTGACAAACTTGTTCAGGGCATTTTTTAAGAAATTACAACTACTGGGGCTATTTCAATAAGGGCCATTTCTCCAAACAATTATACGTACATAAAAACCATCCTGTGCTGACTTTTATAAGACTGGAATGTCGAGAATGTGAGAGGACATGAGAAAGCAGGCAGGTGCAGCTTTTTCAAAAAGGATGACTCAGGGTTTATTTTAAGAAAAATTTAGAACTGCAAAGAATATTAGGTTCTCCCACTCTAATCTCTTTTGGGGAGCTTCGCTCGCCCCAATTTTAGCTTCTTTTCCATTACCCCAGCGAGGTTATTTTAATTAAAATAGGAGAGTCTGCAGTCCTCCGAAAAACGTTTATATTTTTTATGCTCAATTAACGGAGCATCCACAAGGGTAACGAGTAGATGAGAAAACTGTTTTAATTAAGGCTATTTTTGGTGACTGCACATTTGGGTTTTAAGAACTGCACAAATGGGTTTAGAACTGCACATTTTGTGTAGAACTGCACGTTAAAATAAACCCTGGGATGACGTTTAACTATAAATGATCGAAAGGGCCCAGTTCATCTGAAAACAGTATTGCTTCACTACTGGGGTAAGCTGGGGTTTTTGTATTATTTTTACTTTTTGCACTTGTATTTCACTTTTTGGCACTGTATTTCTGCTCTTAGCCAATCAGAATTGAGAAATTTTCTCATGTATATTATTATGACTCAAATTTGTCGAGCGAATCTACTAATTTTTTTGAGTAAGTAAACTATCTTCACTCAAATCACTGAGTATGAAACTGATTTACTCAAAAGATTTGACTGAGTAAATTTGTTCAAATAATTTTACTCGAAATTTTTAGTCCTGGGTGCATTATTTTACTAAGATTCTTGAGTCACAATACTCAGGGACTTCCTGCAGTGTTCCCCTAAAATTTCGAAAAATTTCTGCACGATAGAACAGTCGAGCAGATCGTTGCGGTAAATTGGACACAAAAGCGTGCAAAATGCATGCATGTGAATTTTATCGCAGTGCATAATATAATTAATCCGATCAATTTTTTTAACAATTTGAAAACATAGAATTCTAGCTTTGTAGGTTCCGCAATGTCTGATCAAGCGATTAAATATATTGACCGACTTCGTTCAGATTAGCTTATGCAGAGTTTTTTTTGAAAAAACTTATCAGTTAAAAGATACAGTCTCACACATAACTGACATAAGCAGTACAGCAAAATTGATAGAGGTTCAGATATGACTTCGACTATAAAGCTATCGCATATGATTGCTAAAAACGCACAAGTTGTAACAAACCTGCAGCTAGCAGACTTGTAGCAATGCTGTTCCAACAACTTGTCAACAGGATGTGTTCGCACTGCTTGTTCCCAGCTTGTTAACAACTTGCTACAAGGTCGTTGAGCTCAACAGGCTTGTTACAAGTTGTTCCAACAACTTGTTATCGTTCTGCAATTCAACAACTTGTTAACAAGTTGTGAGTGACAACCTTGTAGCAACTTGATAAAATAACAGCATTGTTACAACTTGTTGACAAGCTTGCTACAAGTTTGTCATGCGAACACATCTTGTTGACAACTTGTGAGATTTTTACGTACATGTGTAGATTAAGTTTTTTTATAACAATAAATTCACCGTATGCCGCATGGTGTATTTAAACAAAAAAAAATTATAAGTTAATCCAGCTTTTAACCTGACCAGCCCAGAACAATACATCACGTTTCAAAAAGTTCACACCTATTGATGTAGCAAAATTTCAATCTGGATTGTGGACAAAATTTGTCCGATAGCCGTTTAATCCAAAGATGAACTGGATTTCGATCAATGATTGAAATAGCGGCATATATTTTTGTCCTTGCATCGGCTTATTTTTTTATATATAGGCTTATGGCCTTTTATAGCATTATAAGAAGTCACGTTCGTCCATAATTTAAAAAAAGTTAAAATGGGAATAGATATATCTTATTAAAGCGAAGAATAACATATTGTTCTCTGCATGCATGCATGACATGTGTCGATGCGTTCAGTATTGTCAGAGATTAACAGAAATGCATATAAGCCTTTAAAACGACATTTGGGACTAAATATGTAGTTTGCCTTATTTAATTAAGCAATGTTTAGAATTATGTGTTAAATTTTGTTGCAGGTATTAAAACAGTAAAAACGGATTGGACAACCAATTAAGTTGGTTATTTTAACACCAAACCGTTTTTCCTCTGTATATATCAAGCTTAACTATCAGAATATTTTGACTGAAAGCAATGCATGTCCGCCATCTTGGATTAGGCATTAACCTCATTAAGATGACGTCAAAGGCGGGGTAATCTTATAAAACATTTTTTTAAGTGCCTCTCTATTCAATTCGAACAGCAAGCAAAAACGAGTTTTACTCTCATGTTGATCACTGACTGTCGCTAAGCTAAAACCGGTATACGTGATCCCACTTGTGACGTATAAAACGTATATCCAGATAGTCCAAGAAGGCGGACAGCTGACTGATTTCAATCTAAATATATAATTCAGAAATCAAAAGCTGTAAAATTGAGCTAATATTTTACTGCCGTGTTCAAGAAATATTTGCGATACAAATTTAGGATTCTCCACTGGGATTCTCTAACATCCAAAACTTTGAATTTATTAATGATTGAAAGTAATGTTTTTTCGAGAGTGGTAGGCCTATATATTTTCATATTTTTATTGGGCTGGTGCTGACTTGTTTTAAATTTAAAATGTTCAGTTCTAAACACAGCACAAAGTATTCGCTGGCCAAAAACTGTACATCAGTCATTTTTCCCATTTAATTCGTCCCATCCAAAGAACGAATTCTTCGTTCAATCATTCGTTTATGTTTATATCTGTCTATGGAGCTGTCTGTGTGATAAATTCATTTGCCGCTTTCGCAAACATAATACTTTGCTATTTGGAGTAATTGAAGTGCTTAGACTAGATGCATAGGTGTACGAGGCAGGGGAGCCGAGGGGGGAGGCTGCACCCTCGCCAGTCAGAATTTTCTCGTATAGATTCTACTTTGAAAATCTGGCAGGTCTATTTGCCTCAGTATATAATGTATTTTGTCCAGTAGTGGCGTAGCCATGGTTTAAACTTTGGGGGGTGGGGGCAAATTTTTTATGGCATTTCGAATGCGAGCGCCAAAGGTGCGAGGAATGCTGGGGGGTTGGGGGGCATGCTCCCCTGGGAAAATTTTTAGATTCATTAAAACGCTATTTCACGCGTATTTTAGGACGAGATTTGAAGAAAAGTTACAACCACAAAAAGGCATTTTTAAGTCGTCTAATGTTGTTATAGATCGAAAAAATATTTATGCAAAACGTTGCACTGTATACGCAAATACAACAGCAAAAATAGCGCGATGTCTTGTAGAAGTCGGTCATGACTGCTGCTATGCGCGCAAATTCAACTTCAAATGTGCTTTCAACAACCATATAGGTATTTTTTACTGGAATTAGGATTCTAGATAGGGAAGACTACAACTTTTATAGGTAAACAGAATAGATGGGTATCATTCACACATCGTACACCCCCCCCCCAATTTCTGCCCGGATTTCAGCTTTATGATAAGGGCAGTCCTTCTGTCCATTGAAGGGGGGGGGGGCGGGGGGGGGGCGACAGAGACCCCCTTGGTTACGCCACTGATTTTAATTTGTCATGATATTAATGTTGAGATATTGATATGGTTGAGTGAATTGTTTCAAATGGATGCAGTAGAGTGAGAGGTTTTCGATGTATCTTAAAGAATGAAATTCGATATATCTTTATTTATCTTTTTAAGATTGACTTTATTTCTGCGTGGCTGTATAGATGTGTTCATTCTATATTTACCTTCGATTCATCTATTAATAAACACATGATAATGTCGGGAAATTTTTGTCAATGTGGTACAAATTTTTGGCCGCTCTTGTATGCTCATGTTTTTGGGTACAGTTGCCGGTAGGGTTTCTCACGGGATTGTGTATGAAAGATATCAATCAAGATGTCATCCAAGCTTACACCATAATAAAGAACAATTGTTCCAATATTGAAATCGTCTGTGCTTTACATTATTGCAGCCACATGCATTTCTCGACACTCTACAGATTACCCAAAATCTCTAAAAAATTATAAAACCCAGTTCCAAAATAAGTCCAAAAAACCTTTCCAAACAGCTGAAGATTTATTTCAAAATCCCCCCCCCCCAAAAAAAAAAAAAAATGTATGGAAAAGTAAATGCGAATTTTGAGTTTTTGAAAAAATCCCGAATTCCCAAAAAGTTTGGGTAAAATCTCAAAACATATAAAGATATCGTATAGATTTTAAAATCCTAAGTAATCCTCTCCAACCGATACGCTTCATGCATATAAGCTATCGTGCTTAAAAGTCTCATTACGTGTTGCATCAATGTAACTTTGAATTCAATATCACTCAAAAGAGTCACTTTATTTCGTGTAAATGGCTAAGTTCTCGGTAATCCGGAGTGACCAATATTGTTTTTATCTTGCGGAAAGTGGGCACACGTTTTTCAAACAATTATTTGTGTTGCAATGGCCGTGCACTTGTGTTTAATAGGTCTGATCTAGGATAAATTATTGCGTAATGTTCCAGCGCCTAACACGAGCTTTAAGGAATTGACAAGCTACAGTTACAAGGCTAACTCGTTAACAGGGCCAACCCGGCTTCCACATACATAAAAGTAGACTTGTTTTGTAAAGATTTTATTAAAACTGTAAAAACTAGCGAACACTTCGTCTTTACAGTATACGTTTTTAGTATATAGTCTACCGCGGGTGTCCCAAAAAACTCGACATTGTTTGATTTCATGTAACGTAAAAGCTACAAAATCTATCGGAATGAAATAAAGACCATTGCATCCAGAAAGGACTAACGTAGATTTTAATGTATATAGCACTTGAATTTACATGCATTATTGACTGCACTATTGATGTTTGAACGTTGAACTACTGTTTTTGAAAATGCAAAAAATTAGAATAAAACAACCTTACATTTACAGATGTAGTTACACTTGTTAAATAATAAATATTTTTATTTTGGTTGTATCTCGCTCAATATTACATGTAAATTCAAGTGTTATATATCAAAATCTAAGTTAGTCCTTTCTGAATACAATGATCTTTATTTCATTGCGACAGCTTTTATAGCTTTTACGTTAAAATCAAACATTGTCCAGTTTTTTTTTGGGACACCCGGCATTATACTGTAGCTACAAATCTATTCTTGTTTATTGAAGAATTTATTCAGCGAAGATTCCGTGCACGCACGTAATGTAACAGTACACTTTTTCTAAATTATGTCATTATTGACGAAAAGGTCGATTGCATTCTCGTACCCAGAGCCCTTCTTACGCGCGGTGCGACGAGGGGCTCTGGCCAAATCCATATTCCGAACTGGCATCTGATATTCTGATTGGCTAGTTCTAACACCGGACATTGTTTTCTTACCATGTTTTTATGGTATCCGGTCATGGATTTGGCCAGAGCCCCTCGTCGCACCGCGCGTAAGAAGGGCTCTGGGTACGAGAATGGGTCGATTGGTTTTGTTCACAGGTTAACAAAAGGACTGGGTCCGAGTATTAGGAAATGTCAAAGTTGAGACATAATCTCGACCACTAGAAGCTTGGTGCGCAAAAAGATTAAGGATAGAGCTTTTATTGGGATAAGATCGAAGAGAAATTGTATTCGTGCCCTAAAATAGGTAGAAACGTATTCTGTTGTTCGAGAGAATAGCCGGTTTTGAACAGCGAAATTTCAAAGATTGTTAAATACATATATGTGTAGGAAGGGTTTGGGAACACGTCTCCTAAGTTTTGAAACTTGATATATCTCTTATTCATAAAACGGTCAAACGCTATATGATGTCTCAAACTTGTTTCAGAGGAAGATCATACGAAGCTAGGACACATTCGTTTTCAAATCTGTTGAAACAGATGCTATACCTATAACTTTTGCAAGCTTCGTTCCCCAGCCCTCTATTCAATGTTGCGTCCCATGCAGTTTTTACTGCATGGAATAGTATCTGTGAATATTAGATAAAGGAGTAGTCTTAATTCCTTTAAGGATATACTGAAAAACATTTCTTAGAAAATATTTAGTATTGGCTCTATTTCATCATGATCTTCATGATAATCTTTTGCCGTATTACTGTGCCTGTGGGTAGTAAATATAATATATTATATGGTATCTGTATTAGGAGGGCCGCAAGTTTATCAGTTTTCCACTGTCGTATGATTGTGTTTTATCTTCAGAAAATAAAGTTGTAATGTTATTTTTGATAAATTTATATAATAAGCTATACAAAGTCTGGATTACCGGCTTGGATTGGGAAAAGTACGTCGTTTGGGGAAAAGAAAGAGATATAAATGTGTGTAAGTTTGAATAGATGTGCTGATGATTTAAAATCGCAGGTGTCCCAACACCCTTTGAAAGTGATTGAAGCTCTATTCAGTAGATAAGGCAAAACAAACACAATTATCATGCACATATCTTCAGAATGAAGGAACATATTAAATGTTATGATACAAATATATTTAGCTCAATACATACTCGTTTTATTCAGGTTTAAAAATTTTGGTACGTTTGAACCATATTCAAATTATTCAATGACATGTGACTAATTCACACAACGGGCAATGGGGGTTTATGTATATATGATAAAGTTGCTGATATAAAGAAACTTATAGCTGGAAACGTGGAATTGTTGTTAATATTCTTGAGCTATAGTCCTATATAGATTCTTTACATCCACTAATTTTGAAGTACCCTTTACACTGAATGAGTTCATTTAATAATTTTGTAAAATTGTAACATGCAGACCCAATATCATTATCAAGAATGGAGGGTTTTTGCCACGTCTCACGAAACTGCGTACATGGATTTGCACTCCATTTAAATGACGATAAACCGAGCAGACATTTCGACATTCCAACTTTGGTCAGGCCAAAGCGTTGCCGGCCAGCTTCAAGGGCAAATTACAAAATTGTAATCTTATCGTACAGACTCGACGACGCGGGCGGTAGGCCTCTGCATCTCGTGCCGACGAGCAATGCGACGATATTGCATAAGTGGAGGGTTTTTTCTAGATCATATACGCGTTTCGTATGTTGGAGACAAAAAGTCACGGATTGTTCTGTCAAGTGCGGCCTCTTTAAACCTTTGGACGATTTATTGCAGATTTAGTTAAAATTAGCCCTAATGAGAGCCCAATACGGTGAAGTGAAAATCAAGGACAAAGTACAAGCAAGAATTATACAAAAGATAATAGAAAGTGCATGCACGTTTTGTTTTCAGGATTGAACGACTTTCTCAAACCGTAGATGAAAGAGAGTTGGCTTTAATTATTCGAATCGTATCTAGCTAGTTATACGACAAATCCAAGCTGATAACCAAATCACACAAAGTTGTGCGCAAACGTCTATTTCATGTAGTACAAACGATTTTGAATTCCTCAGGCGCTTTGATATACAGGCCTTTGACTCCATGCCATTATAATTCTGATACTGAGTTTTGTTTTCACTTGAAGCTAAAACAAGTGAATACCTTCTATTGCAAAATAGCGTTTATTAGAGAGGTCGTTAATTTATAGATGAAGCGTGAGTGTAATGTAGTACTCCTTCGATGCATGAACACGTGTCCTCTATATCTTTACAAGTGTGCATGAGATAAGCATGGGGATAGCATAAAAAGAGTGTTTATAGGGATTAAGGGTGTTGATAAGAGATAGAGCTAATTAGTGGGACGGGGTATTACAGAAACAAATGGTTAGTAGATAAGGGGGTGGGGGGAGGTTGGGATTGTGTTTAGTAGAGAGAGATTTGGCTAGTATGAGTAACGTGTTTAGTTAACAGGGTGTTAATTAGAGAGAAGAGCGCTTGTTAGAGAGAGGTGTGTTAGTTAGAGAGAAAAAGTTCTTAATTAGAGAGAAGGGTGTTAATTAGAGCGATATGTGTTAATTAGAGCAAAATGTATTAATTAGAGAGAGAATGATCAGAGAGCGATAGGTGTTTATTAGATGGAAGAGCGTGTATTAGTGAAAGGAGTCTCTGT